TGAGTGTACGGTGTGTGTAGTTTCTATGTAATTAATGATATAATAGTTACGCTAACCCATTATCGATCCTCACCCCCACCCTCACCCTCACCCTCAACCTAACCCATCACCCTCACTTAACCCTAAACCTAACCCTAACCCTCAACCTCAACCTCAGACCTCACCATCACCCCCACCCTCACCCTCACCTAACCCTAACCCTCACCTAACCCTAACCCTCACCCTCACCTTCACCCTCCCCTAACCCTAACCCTATCCTTAACCCTCAAACTCACACCCACCCCTCACCCTCACCCCACCCTCACCTAACCCTAATCCTCACGCCCACCCTCACCTAACCCTAACCCTAACCCTTACCATCACCCCCACCCTCACCTAACACTCCTCTAACCCTAACCCTCGCCTAACCCAAACCCTAACCCTAACCCTCGCCTAACCCTAACCCTAACCCTAACCCTCACCCTCACCATCACCCCCACCCACACCGAACCCTCCTCTAACCCTAACCCTAACCCTAACCCTAACCATAATTAAAATTAACTTTTTTATGTTATATACCTAACCCTAACCCTAACCCTAACCAAACCCTAACCCTAACCCTCCTCTAACCCTAATCCTAACCCTAACCCTAACCCTAACCCTAACCCTCGCCTAACCCCAACCCTAACCCTAACCCTCACCCTCACCATCACCCCCACCCTCACCTAACCCTCCTCTAACCCTAATCCTAACCCTAACCCTAACCCTAACCCACGCCTAACCCTAACCCTAACCATAATTAAAATTAATTTTTTTTATATTATAATCCTAACCCTAACCCTAACCCTAACTGAACCCTAACCCTAACCCTAACCCCAACCCTCCTCTAACCCTAACCCTAACCCTAACCCTCGCCTAACCCCAAACCTAACCCTAACCCTCACCCACACCATCACCCCCACCCTCACCTAATTACCCTCCTCTAACCCTAACCCTAACCCTAACCCTCGCCTAACCCTAACCCTAACCCTAACCGAACCCTAACCCTAACCCGAACCCTAACCCCCGCCTAACCCTAACCCTAACCCGAACCATAATCCTAACCATAATTAAAATTAATTTTTTTATATTATAATTTTATCAATATGAATATTTTTTATTAGGGTTTGGGATTTTTGCATAATTTTTTTGTTTTACCAAAATTAAACTAAAATTATAAAAATTAAATTTAAATAATAAAAATAACTACATGCATCTCCCCCCTCTCAATCTCTCCTTCTCTCTCCCTCTCTCTCGTCGGCCCGACGCCAGGCGTGCGTGGTCGGCGCTCGGCTGTGCCGCGCGGCCGACGATGAGAGAGGGAGAGAGAAGGCACGAGCATTGAGAGGGGAGAGAAGAGTGAGAGAGATTGAAGGGGGCGGGGAAGAGAAGATATATGTACCTATGAGAAGGGGATGAGAGGGGCGGCGGCGCGCGAGGGCGGCCCTATGAACGGGCGGCGGCGGACGATGGGGAGCTGGCGGATTCCGACCTAGGGGAGGAGGGGATGCGGGGCTCCGACAGCGCGGCGGGGACGATTGGGGGCGGCGGGTTCCTTAACGCGGGGGATCGGACCCGAGGGATGGTCCTGCACCGAAGTTTCCGACCAGGGGAGGGGATGCGGGCTCGCCGACACAGTGCGTCGGGCGGGTGCATGGATCGGACAGGGGGGCGCTGAAATTGGAAGAGGGCCCGGGGGTCGCTGAAATAAAGAAGGGGGAGGAAACTAGGGCTATTAATTTTCGGGCGCGGGTGCCCAAAAAATTTGGGCGCCCGCGCCCAAAAAATTTTGCCTGAATTCGTTTTTAGCGACGGAATTTCCGTCGCTAAAAACTCTTTAGCGACGGAAATTCCGTCGCTAAAACCAATTTAGCGACGAAATAAAATTTCGTCGTAAAATATTTTAGCGACAAATAAAATCCGTCGCTAAAATTAAATAATCCGTCGCTATAAAGATTTTAACGACGGATAAATAGCGACGGAAAATTCCGTCGCTATAAATCAATATATAGCGACGGAATTTTCCGTCGCTATTGTTCCGTAGGTATAAGCTCATTTTCTACTAGTGGATGGGCATGGCAGAAGGCACGTGGGCATACTGAATCATCCCTCATTATACAGGTGTCGGCTGGCGACTGGAGAGGAAGTAACTTCGGTATAGGAGAGGACGTCTCCGTAATATCCGAGAAGCGACTTGTGAGTGAAGTATGAACAGACTAGCTGCTAAGTCACGAGAAGTGTCAGAGCTGTGGTCTTGATAAGACAAGTCAGTGTTGTGGCGTCGATTAGAGAGCTAGTGCATATCTGAAGGGAAACTCGGTTTGATCTTATCCTCTTGGCAGAGAGGCGTCAATCTTTGAGTCATCCTTGTGGTTTGTCGACTAGGTAGTCGAGTGAACTTCTGGTTGAGTAAACAACCGAGTAAGTGGTCGGGCGGACTCTTGAGGAGTCGTCTCGGTGTTGAAGGGTCAACTTATTCCGTCTTTCGCGTCGACTCAGGAATGTCGGTCTGTCCGACTGGTTGGAATGTCATCTTGTCTCAGCTTATAACCGCCTCTAGAGTCGATGTAAAGATATCAACTCGTATGGGAGGTCAGGATCTCCCATGCTGATCAATATCGCCTTTAGTGTCGACTCAGGAGAGTAATATTGATGAATCGGTGAGGGCCGAGGCCTTTGTGATTGTGCCTTGGGTTTATCCCTGATAAGGTACCAAGGTCTTGTAATGAGCCATGATGGTCGTGTTGCACTGGAGGATTCGATCATATATTGTGTCTTGGGCTTACCTTGATAAAGAGCCAATGGCTTAAAATTCGACTGAGGAATCGTATGCCTAAAACTCTTGGGAGTTGACTAGAGCTTTCCTTCCCCTAAGGCCGAGAGGCGACTGTTAAAGTCGGCCATGTTTTCGTCGAAAATTATTTTCTTCATTGTATAACTCATTACAACTTTGATTGTTACAATAAGTTTAAAAGATCGGTCTTTTTATTAGACCTTTACACAATAAAATTAAAAGATACAATTCTCTTGAAAATAAACGCAAGATCCGTTTATCGTCTCCTGCTTGCGTGGGTTCTTCGCCTGTGCCGGGGTTTATCCGTGGACCACCTTTGATCAGATCCGGTTGTTGAAAATTCGGCAGAGCTCCTACCTCACCAAGGAGGTATTTGCTTAAAGCGCTAAAATCGACCAAGCAAAATCAGTAGCTCTTCTCGAGATTAAGACCAAGTCTAATCTCGAGGAACAGACGTGAACGGTCTTCAGATCCTTCGAATTGCTCCTTCTTTATGTCGGGATTCGCCGGGATCTCGCTAGCCCTTGCTGAAATTCGTGCTCCCTTGCTCTCCAACTCAGTAGCACCTCCTCGTCTTGATAATTAACCCCCCCTCCCCCGCCCGCCCACTGAAAGAAGGCCCTACGCTTGTATTTATAGAGCTCCGGATGCGGGTTTTGGGATAAGAATGATGGATTCCTCCTTATCTTCGGTTAATAACTGATTAACCATGTTTAGAGATAGGATTTAGGCAGTTAGGAACCTCTGGAACTGAAAAGATCTCGTGAAAGCCCGTCGAAACAGCCAAAAACGCGTTTTCGGGTCAAATCTGCGCGAAGGGGTGTGGGGCGGCACGATCCGACCCGCGCGGGCGCCGGTTGGGTCGCGCGCGTGCTTTTTTGCCCTTTGGTGTTTTCCGGTTTTTCGGGACTTGTAGTTTCTCCCATTTCGTTTACTCGCCCGTCGTGTTGACTTGTACCCTCCGCGCGAGTTGATTGACACACTTTGATTGACGTCGTTTACTCGCCCGTCGTGTTGACTTGTACCCTCCGCGCGAGTTGATTGACACACTTTGATTGACGCCAGCGTGCTGATTGGCGCGCGTGTATTGACCGACGCGCGCGAGCTGAATGATGTATGCGTGTTGAACGATGCGCGCGAGCTGATAGACGCAGTTCGACGTGCGCGAGTTGAATGATACGCGCGTGCTAACTGACTGTTGGGCGCGTTGGACGCTTTGAGTTGATTAACGCGTGCGGGCCACTTGGCGTTTGCCGTTGTGGTGGTTCGTTGTCGTGTCATCAACGGTTTGCCGATTCGCTTCATGCGCTTGTCAGCGTCGGATAATCCTCTTCGACTCGGATAATGACGTTCATCGCCTTCTTTTTGTCTTGAGCTGTATTCGGAGACCTATAGGCATTTTTATACGCCTACAGGCCAAAGTATTGAGTTTGTTTTGCTAGGATTCTCATTGTATTATTTTGTAAATATCCGTATCTTGGATGAGTGAACACCATAACAAATAATAAAATAACATTATTATAATATATAACAATAGCAAATTGATATACCAAAATAATTAAATATATAATTATTTAAAAATAATATGTAATAATTATAATATAATATAACTCATTGAAGTACAATATAATATTATAATACATTATAAAAGATTATTACTGCATTATATTTAATACTTATAATATTATAATAATATAAACTAAATATTATAATATTTTATTTACAATATATTTTGTTATAATTAATACTAGTGTACACCCCGTGCAAAGCATGACACCTTTTTTTATTTTTACTACAGTAATTCTTTTTAAAATATTGTAGTCAATTTTTTATAAATGTTACAGTATTATGTTTTGTGCTACTATAATTGTGATGCACTAGTTCACTATATCATCACGGTAGCATAAATAGTAAATATTTAGATCCTCCTATAAGTATAGAAGAGTAAATATAATATATTATAAATATTTAATGCAAATGTTGTAATGGATAAAACTAGTAGAAACCAAAAATACTTAACATAATATTTTAAAAATATTTTAAAGAAAATACACGACGTCATAATGTATTTTTACAAAAACACAGTAAAGAAAACACATAAAAAAACCAGCTCGGTTCACGCCGCCTGGCAAAGCGTTTCCTAATAAAGGCGCGAACAAGGCGCCTCTTTCACGTGGGCACGCTTGAAATGGCGACAAGTTCCCTTCAGCGCTCATTCTCGCTTTCCACGTGGCACAATCTAATCCGTTCAAAACCCTCTATAAAGACAACAGACTCCTCTATCTTCCGCTCACTCTCCAAAGCCTCGATCTCTAGATCTACTCCCTCTCTTCAAAAAATCTCTCACCGGAGAAGGTAAATTTCTTAACTCTTACCTTCACATTTCTATTGATCGCCAGATGTTTGAATTGACGCGTCTGCTGATTGGTTTAGATTCATATGTGTTCAACCTTTTCGATCGATTTATCGATGGATTGATGCCGTTTTTTCTGCAATCGACAGCAAATCGAGATCAGCGAGGGAAATGGTTGGGAGAACTCCAGGGCTGATTGCTTTGTTCGATGTCGACGGGACCCTCACCGTTCCGAGAAATGTACGAAGAGTTTCGATTTTTACTGACATTATTATTATTATTTACTTATTTGATGAATCTTTGTCAAATCAAGTCTTTTTGGATCGGGTCTCAATGTTTCTTCATGGAGAAATGGCTTCTAGATTTGAAATGAGTATTAGTGAAGCCTGCGGCTTCTTTGATTCAAACTCTTATATATTTTTTGTTTGTTTGAATTTGTTAGGTTATAAGTCAGAAAATGCTGGAGTTCATGAAAGAACTTCGGAAGGTAAGAGTATATGTTTATCTGTGTTTAGTTTTCTCAAAAAAAAAAGCAAGTAATTATCAGTGTTTATTATAATTTTTAGTAGGAATATTGTGATTGTTTTGGTGGCAGGTTGTTACAGTTGGTGTAGTTGGAGGATCTGATCTTGTTAAGATATCAGAACAGCTAGGAAAATCAGGTATGTGTTTTTTTTTATTCGGAAAAAAAAACTATAATATGGGAGTATTACCTAATGCATATTACTTCTCTGTTTCAATTTGACATTGTTTGCATGAGAGAGGAACCAGAAAAACAAATATAATTTTATTTAACAAGTCATGGGGTTATATAATTGGTACAGTCTTTCTTATTGGGTGGAGGGACCTCGTGTGATGTGCATGTTTTTGTTTAATAATATGCTGTATCTTTTTTTTCCTTTCGTTATTCAGGTTAGAGCATGATAAAAATGATTTCTTTGCAGTGATCACAGACTACGATTATGTATTTGCCGAAAATGGTCTTGTTGCTTACAAGAATGGCGAAGAAATTGTTTCATGAGTACAGAAATACTATTGAAATTTGATGTTTGGTTTACACACAAATGGAGATTTTGTCTGAACAAGATATTAGGATGTTCTTATGTTGGTAGCTGCTAATTTCCAAAAAATTATGAGATAGGAGAAGAGAACTGTTTATTGCGCATGTACGTATATGACGATAACACAGGTTGTTTTAAAGGTTAATTAGGTTTACTAATTATGAAATTAGAGAGTAAATTACGGCGTAAAAACACATGGCAGGTAAGCAAAGCTGAACCAATAGAAGTGGAAGTGGGGCTCACACTTCTCTGTGAAAGATATGAGTTGACTAAAAAGGGAATACAAATGAATGTCCCGTTGATGGGCAGCTAGCCTTATTTGCCTACTGACCTCTTTTTTTTTTGCCAAGGCTGCTGTATATAATTAGAGTTTAATTTTTTCCCCCTTCGAATGAGATGATGGCGAACTCATTGGCAAACAGGTATCCTGCTTTGGTTTGGAATCATATTTTTTAATAACTTAATAAAAAGCATTTGGTTGCTTATTAGGATGTTAGTTCAAGTTGTCTTGTATGTTAACTCCGTCAAATTCCATGAAACCGAGGAGAAAAGTTAAGAGTAAAAGATAGCTTATAAGTTTTAAATCATACATTATCCAACTAAGACGAACTAAAAGCTCCATCTAGTATCAGTGAACCAAGAGTTCAGTATCTTCCATCGAACTCATAATCAATAAAGATCTATCAGTTTTGAATTGCAGCCTTTTTTTTTTTTGTTCACATAACATGTTTGGCAATGGTTGCAGAAACTTGGTGGAGGTTGAGTTTTGATACTGAATTGCACTTAGAGCTTAGCTAGATGG